TTCTTTTCTTCCTTGGTTGAGATAGGTGGCCCTACAAACTTTTTAAATAAACCCAACAAACAGGGTGGATTTGATTTAAAACAAGTCGATTTAAATTGTGATTAAAATCACGATTTAAATCACTAGTAAAAAGGTTTGATTTAAATCAGCTCGATTTAAATCACAATTTTTAGAGTAACTGTCATCTCTGTCCCACAGCAGCTCCTCCTCTGACCCTCTGTTGACTCATTGACAGTCCCATTAAGTTTAACGGGATGGCTGGTGATGCAGCAGTGACACAACAAGGTGACAGACATGGCAGGCAGTAGGTGAGTGCACTAACAGGCACTGCCATGATGGATCTGAAATGGCTGGTGCTCTTTAAATGTAAAGACTCATTCTTGCTGGTAGTTAGAATCTTTAATATTATTATTTGCAAACAAAATGAAGGTTTCCTATTTAGCTTGCAGAGCTTGGATTCATTGAATGAGTTTATGAAAAATGTAAATATTGCAGAATATACAGCCTCATGCTACATAACTAAGCTCCATATCATGCTGAATAAACTAAATTATTAATGTACCTTAAACAGAAAGTATCTTTAGATAGATTTTTACTCCAAAAACATTTTATTAAAATAAATTTGATAAAAATAAAAAAAAATCTGATTTAAATTTTTAAAAAATCCAATTTTTTTATTTTAAAAAACCATCAATTTTTATCCACCCTGCCAACAAATAAATAGTATCAGAAAACAGCCTCAAAAAAAAAAAAAAAGGTCAGCCATTAATATAATGTGGATAGAATACTTAGAGAAGTTGTGTGACTTTCATTCATGAAAACTTAAAAGCCTATTTGGGGAGCATTTTCTAGTGTGGGAGAAGGCAAAGCTCACACTTTGAAGAGCTTTTGTAAAGAAAATGGGAGGCGTAGCATCTGAATTGGTTATTTTCCTCTTTGGGAAAAATTACCAGTTAGCAGCCTCTTAAAGTAGATTTGTTCTTGATGTTGCCACAACAGCACTGTATTGATTCGTTGTTCTGCACAAGGTATGCATGTATTATTAAGGCATTTCCAAATAAAACCCCCATTTTCATTTCGCCTTCTAAACCCATCTGTTGGAAGATATCTGATAGTTTAATTATTTCAGTAAACATCATCATGATACCAGGTACTGTAGTCCTTTACTTTGCAATTTTTCCTCAGCAATTGCAAACGTACTGGTAATGAAAGCCACACAGTATTAATGATGCTGAAAATCTCTATGGAAAACATTGAAGGTTCAGCTCTTAACAGCGTGCCAAAATTACATGCGGGAAGACTTTTCCTTTCTTTTTAATAACCTTTGTTTCTTAATTTAGTTTTGATTGGCTGTGAAATCCACAGTGGTACTTGAAGACTTGCCATACTTTGCACTTCTGCTCCGAGAGCCACACAAACATATATGTCCATCTGCAGGTGCCTTCAAGTTCTCCATATGAACTTTCCAGGAACAAAAGGGATAATGCAACTATTGCAAATTGCCTTGCTGCTCTACTTTATGTTAGCCAACAGCAAATTTTCTTTTTTATATGTCATTATTTCAGTCTTCTGCTTTTTGTGAATCACAGGTTAAACATTGGCAGCTTGCAGATAGTAGCACTTTATTCTTTACCTCTGCCAACCTCCCAGTCTCTTCTCTATAGTATCTTTCCTTTTAGAGATATATCTCAGAAAACAACAAAAAATCCATATATGCCAATACCAAAATACAGTAGATATGGTTAAAAAAAGAGTTCCCCCCATCCACATTTTTTTTAATTTGAAGATCTGGAATTAGTAGGACCCATTAGGATCTTAAATTAACAGAGCTTTGGTTGAGTAGCATATTTTGTTTTATTCCAGTCTTTATCAAATCAATATATTTGTGCTTTCAGAATTTGCCTTATACTTTGCTTTATCCTAGAAGGTTACGTCTAACTAGCCCACTTTTGAACAGCAGGAACTTACTTAGGATTCTTTCTGTTTTCCTGAAAAGCAGATAGAAATACTAGTTACATCTAGCCATGGGCTAGAATGATCTCATATGGTAAAAACTTGCCTGTGTGTGTCACCCTAGCTTATAAATACATACAGAACTACAGGAGAACCTTGAGTACAAAATTTCTCTCCTTAAATAACATAGCTGAGTAGACAACACAGTATGGATCTTGCTACAGTATTTGCCTTTCCTGTCAATATTTGCTGAATGAATTCCCTAACCTCTTTGTCACAGGCATAACTAAATATACCAAGATCATAAATGTAGATTACAATCCCCACATTTCACTTTGTAGAGCCATTGTGCTCAAAATTTTAATTGGCAACTCAAGAATTAAAGAGATGCCAGACTCAATATACGTTGTATTAATGACCTCAGTTCATTCTTCCTGCTGAGGTGCAACTTGGGAGTAACACAATTCTGCTTTTTTGAAGCCACAAGTACCAGAGACCCTAACAAAGGGTGCAACCTACCAGAAGGATTCCAGGCATATTTTAAAGAAAATGCAATCTATCATATCTAAATTGTTTAATTGATGTGATGTGAAATACTTTATATTATTAAAAAAAATATTGGGAAAGTTCCATGTTTGTCTTTCATATGAAACTATTCCTAAAAAGTTCAGGTGTCCAAAATTAAATAAATCACATTCCTTTCTACCAGATCAAATAATTTGGATAAAGTTTCCTTATATCGAATCAGACTGTAATTTTATATAGATCAGTATTATTGTCACTGGCTGATAGCTTTTTAACATAGAGACCTGTAAAGCATTATGTTCTACTTAGGAACTAGTCTTCGACAAAAACGCAAATTCCAACAGTTCTCCAAAAAAGCTTATTTCATATGTCATAAGCGTATGCCATAATTTAAATATAGTGGATCACAGATGACTGCAGTCCAGTAGGATATTCTGCTGCCTATTCCAAATGAAATGACTTAGTGCCATGTCTAGCATCACTCTTGCAGAAATCTTACTCATCTCAATGGGGCTTCTGACTGAAGTGTGTGTGTGATACTCTGCTCTCAGAACATGACAGCGTACAGGTTGAGTCAAAACTGATGTACAACATGTTATGAGTAATCAATCTTTACAGCATTAACCCATGCAATTCCATTCCCTATTCTCTCCATTCCCTCTGCTTTTGTCCTAAGATTCTGAGGTACCGGTGGTTTAATATTGAAGTAGTTTAAAAAGCATGCAAACATAGTTTATAAAATTAATTATTATCTGCTTCACGATGGCAGATATTAAATGACCATCTGAACTGCTGATTGCAAATAAATTAGGGAACGCATCTGGATTACATCTCCGCTCATTCTTTTAGCTTCTGAATCTTGAGAGCCCAGTCCTGAAGCAAGAATAATTTTGCAGATGTCAAGTCATAAATCTCACATGAAAGTGATAGTTATTTTAAATCACTAGATTACCATCCCTATCCAGAACGGAGAATGCCCAAACCCTAATAATCCTGTAAGGTTCTTCTTATGTCTACTGAGAATAGAAAATTTGTTGAAAGAGCATGAATGGGCAGGAGGTACAAAAGACTACAGATTTAGTTACTAAACGGTGTTCAAAATTAGTAACTTGGAGATGGTATACTGAATGTTTACCCTTTTTTATAATGTCAAAATGAGGCTTTTCCTTGTCTAGCTATTTCTGCCTTTGAGTTCTTTTCTATTTAGATTTGTTCATGGATTTCTCTTTTCTTTCCTTCCCAGTGTAAATTCTCCTCCTCACAAAATCAATATCCTGAAGTTTATTTTTTCTTCTTCTATTCCTGCTTGAAGAAGGGAATGGAAATGTGTGTGTGAATTTGCAGATTTTTGTGTGCAAGAATGAGTTGTTTTGAGTACAAGAATGGTTCTTCTGTATATAGGGCCACCTAATTTTAAACACTATTTGTTTTAAATAGAGATAGATGGAGAATGTGGGAGAGATTGTCTTAGTCTTGTTCTTCTACAGGTTGTATAAAACACAAATGCAAAAATGCATGCATACATATACGAAATACCACCTGCATACTTTTTATGAGGAAATGAAATCTCCAGGACTGGTTTCCCCTGGACTTGTCAATCTTGCTTTGACAAGATATGAATGCTGGACAGTGCACAGGCTTTTTGACTGAATCTGTCACTCCCCCCCCCATTTATTCTTTCAGAAGTATCACCCAAATTAGAGAGCCATCCTCCATTCAGTATGCAATATTCAGCTCATGTCAGAGAAGCACATTTCATACTTTGCAGGTAGAAGGAAAATAATAGGAACACATAATCAAATACTGTATATTTAAGGAAAAATGGTACATTTTTATCAGCTCTGAAAAACCCAACTGTTATAGCTACAGGTTGCTGGATTATTTTCCTAAAGGCCATGCGAATCCTGCAGAAGCCATTGTCTTAATATAAAATATTACCTAGCACAGTGCAGAATTCCAAAAATCATTTATGGCTTAATTTTTAAAAAAGCTGAAAATACTGAAACAAATTTAACATCCAATCTAATAACAATGCTTTTTGAGCCAAGTCAAAACTTTCACAATTATAGAGGCCACAGCACAAACTAAACAGATTTAAGTTAAATGGTAAGTAAAATTAAGTTGATATACACTTTGTAGGATTATTACAGGGGCAACTAATACTTTCCCTTCCAACTAATCGAAATTTAAAAATGTAACAATAACCTTTGTGGGGGTTCTTATAAATCTATGCAGTCATTTCAGGGCTTTCTGAGGCCTAAAAAAAAGCAATAAAAGAATACCACTGACTCAAGAACCACTTTCCTTCATTCAACTAAATTTAAATGGACTACTTAACCCTTCAGCTTTAAAAGCTTCTTATGCTTCCTCTCTGCTGGACATTTTTTAGTCCCATGACAAAAAAGGCCGTCCAGTCCTAAACTAAAGATGTTGGTCTTGATGCAGTGGACAGACATTATTCTGTTTCTCTGAGAGAGCTATGCTTTATGCTTAAAAGATAAGATTTATACTTTTTGCCTTACCATTCCGCAGAAGGTCTCCGGTGGATTTCCACATGTTATATTAGGCGGATCCAGGTTTACTTTTACGTGTTTCATCATATCTATGGCTTCAGGCTGACAGGCTGTATAATCCCAAATCTTGTCTTCATCCATATAAATCTGTGTCTTGCACACATCATAATGTCCCCAAACTGAAGGATAATGTTGCATTACCGAAGACACAGTAACCCATAGGGCATGGAGAGACAGGAATCTTGACAAATACATCTCTATATCCTTTCGAGTGCCTTGACAGCAATCACCAATATGGAACTAAGTGCAGTCTTTATTATACATAAATATACATATAGAGAGAGGCAACTTTATTGCAAAATATGTTCCAAAGGAGAGAAGAGCTTAAGTTACAATAACTGTGTTTTTAATTTTGGAAACTTTGGTGGAAGCCAAGCATATTATTTATTATACGTCGTTCAAAGCCAAGTGAAGGATGCTTACATTCCCAGGTGTTTCAGGACTTTTAATCACTTATGCAAATAATGTCCAAAACCAGGTACAATTCAGCAGTGTTGCCAGGCCTCAGCTGTACCTTCAATAATCCTGACCAATCCTCTTTTTTTCCGGCTCATGAGGAACAGTCTGCCAAACAGATGAATCAGCTGATGGACCAAAATGATGGGTATTTACAGTCTGTTTGCCATCAATCATTCTTTTCTTCTGGCACCAGCACCCTTTTAGAAACAATAAAAGTAAGAGTTATCGTTCCAGGATCAATGCAATAGAAAATATTTGAAATGTTGACATTTTAAGGGACTTGCTCAATACAAGGTAAATTGAAAAAACAACAACGGGGTAACCTTTACCGGAGGAACTTTGCTAAAATAAACTAAATGTCTAAATCACTCATCACCAAAATTATTTTGGCATGAGAGATTTAATTCCGGTCTCATTTTCATCCATCCGTCTGTCTGTCTATAGAACATTATTTTCCTCTTGTCAAAACCTGAGACCAGCAACAGCACTCAAACCAGTCACATACTTCATAGCCAAATTGGGGATACAATCCTCAGTCTACCAAAGGTGTCAAAAATTTTTTATTACAATGACAAAGGACTGACAACAACTTGCATGCTTTTCATCTCTTCAAAAGAAGACCTCTGAGAGCTCAAAATATCTGTTACACATCTCAGCTTTTGTTAACTTAATAAGTGATCTGATGAGCCCACTTCTGTCTCTTTGGATTTTTTTTTTCTCATTAGTACTGGAAGAGCTCTGCTTTCGTTTAATTGTGTTTAACGACAAAGAAAACAGTTGGCTCATTTGCAGCTGATAATAACAATTCCTTATATAGACTGGCTGTTATTATTTTAAAGTCCCTTTATGTGTCAATTTCCACAGGAGAAAGCAATCTTCTCAATCTACCTTCTGTGTTCACTGGAGCAGTAGGTAAAATGCTGGGCGATAATTTAAATGATAGAAAAGACACATCAAAGAAATTCTCACACTGACCTCTGTCAATTTTGCAAGGCATTTAAACACAAGGCATGGCTACTTGGCAGCCCGCAGGCTCAATCCAAGCTCAACACTTTCCTCTCTAACCAGATTTTAATTAAGCTGTGATAAAAGAACTGTCTACAGGGGTTCTCTCTTTCTCTCTCTCTCTCTCCCCTTCTGTATGCAATGCATTTGTGCACATTTGTTTGAATTAATAACTATGCCACCTGAATTATGATAAATGTATTAAAGATGTTAACAATTTGTGAAATAACAGATCACTGGAATATACAGATTTTGGTTATATCAATCTAGAACTAAATTCTAACAAAAACATTTGACAAAAGTATTGCAGCATCCTGGTTTTTTAACTGCTTTAATGTTATTAAAAAGAATGCAACATTTACTAAGTATTATCTTAGTCATTATTTAATAATAAGCCCTTTCCAGACAATTACTGAAAAATAAGTGTGCAGTCAAATTACCGGTACTATATTCCTAACTGACATTTTAAGGAATCACACTAATTTCTTACTAAATTTCTACACATGGCAGAAAACATCTGGAAGCAATTGTGCTGTTTCCCCAAAACCAATATTTTCCCTGTTTGGTATCTGATGATCTGATGAGTTAAGAAAATGACTTAGGATATCACATGAATAAAAAAGAACACCGCATTTTGATGACCTGTGCAGCATAATAGCTTGTGCCAAAAATGCCTACTTTCAGGCAGAGAGAATCTGGCATGCAAAGCGAATCTGTAAAGAGGTTCCTTTTATTCACATATAACATTATCTTGCATCAAGAAACCAGCTATAGTTCTGATGCAATGCCAACAGATGGCTGAATAATGTTTCCATAGCAAATTACAATAATTGCCTTATGGACACATGGAGTTTCCTATTTATTTCACAAACCAGTGTTCTGTGAGAAAGTTCAGCTTCTTTTCAGGAATGAGGTACACCACACTCCAGCATAGGTAGCAAACTTAGGATTTTAAAGAGCTCAAAGGTACTCTTTTAAAACTTTGTCATCTCCTTCTGCTTCAAGATATTTGTTTGTTTTTTTTACATTTTTTAATCTTACATACTGATCACCAACTTACACATGTGACTATCTGAAACAGGATTTGGTTCATTTCAAATGACTACTTAGACTGAAAGCATGCATTTTAAATTAATATTTATAAATAGAAATAGTTCCTTGCTTTGTACAATATGTTAACAAATTGCCAAGAACAGCATCGCATGAATTCCGAAGAAGTTATATATTTCTATACCATTTAATAGTGGTGTTAAGTCCAATTCCTTCTAATATAGCTTTACTTCTGAGAAGCATATATTTTAACTACCTTCAATAAAGTAATTGGAGACTCATATCAGATTGCAAATAGATGATAGCAACAATCAAGATGGCAGAAGATTTGCACTAAAATGCAACATTGGTGCAAATGTTCTATCTGGAGTATATTCTTCCCCCAGATAATGAATTACTGTTGAAGCCAGTAAAAAGTCATGATTATGGTAATTACACAGAATTATAGAGTATAACACTGATCTCATTCAACAAGATGACAAGAGAAAAGTTGAAACCTTTGTGCAGGTGATTCAAGTATCAGAACATGCGACTGGCATGCTTGACAAGAAACAGCCAATTACAGCTTAAATTTCTGGCACTTGTCCAGGGTGTGATTAATAGTTTTCCATTACGTTTCAGACATATTATTAATGTATTAAAAATATCATCGTTTGGCAAGAGCTAACGCAGCATAGCTTAGCAGTCGGCAGTATCTCATTATTAATGAGCTCTCATTGACAGAGGGAAAGATATTGGCTTGAAGATCATATGCCAAGGATCATGAGAATTTTTAATAACAGCAGAATGCACCTCATGTGGCATTTGTAGACTGCAACTCAAGAGATACAGATCTTCATTAAATAAGAGCCTGATGAGATTTCTACACTTCAATGTAGAAATGAACTTGAATATTTTCACTTCCATCCTAAATGCATTTCCGTGGAACTGAATTTTATGTCAAGGCCATCCAAATAGTTATGACTGATATGGAGGTTTCTACTTGAGCTTTCTTAAGATCAGACTTTCAAGTTTGAACATCTAGTGTGATAAAGAAGAAGGATAAAGTAGGATTTTCTTCCAGATTTTTTTTTTCTTCTGTTCATATCAGATCAGTTCTAACACAAGTGTTAAAAACTGACAGAGGACTATTTTGCTAAATCCTCTCTAGCGTTATAACCTTTGCTTACCATGCGATCACACAATCTGCTGTATGAAACTAGAGTGATCCCTAGAATCTCTCCCCTCAGACTGACGGAAAGGTGACTGCAAGCCACAGGGGAATGGATTATGCTAATGACATTCAATGGAGTTCTGGCACACAGAGACCAAAAGTGTCCTTTATTACTGACAGCTCATCACACCTACAGAATTTTAACCCTTTACCAGTGCTTCTACAACCTAGCTTCCCCTTAGGGGCAATTCAGAGGACTGCTATTTAGTCTCACGCAAATCCTTGTTTACATATACCCGCTGACACCCCCCCCCCCAACAATATCCCAGATGCAATTAACTGTGAAAAACAACCAACTTCCCATTCTGATTAGCAACTGCTGACAAATGAAGCATCTTGTAGTGATCTGGTCCCTGTAAATAGCATCCTTCTGTCTTTCTCTCTCACACACAGATCCACACCCACAGACACGCAAAGATCATTGTCTCGTAATAGAAATTGGCACTAAGAAGCTGATTGGGTAGTTAATCAATAGAACTCCCCGGTGAGGACTGTCTCTTTATATATACAGAGCTGTATTCTAAAAATAAAGTAAAGCCCCAAATAACAGTTTTGTATGTATTATTTGGAAATCTATCCTACTGTTACCTAAAGGAAAGAAAAGGGCTACATTCAATTTGATTCGTGGATAATAATGTTAATAATGTTATACTTCCAAGCTTTTGTTAACATTATTATCCACGAATCAAACTGAATGTAGCCCTTTCCTTTAGGTGAAATAGTTTTTTTTTTAAAATAAAGGTACATATGCACACATACCAGGAATCCATATAGCAATTAGTCAATTGTAATTTAAGGGTTGTGTTCCAACCTCTGCTCTGTATGAATTCTGGCTGAATTTTCCTAAAGACCAACAGTAATAATGCTGTAAACACAATCCAAAACATAACTATCGTTCCACACAGACACCTCTCTTTAAATGTTTATTTATACATACATACATACATACATACATACATATATATATATATATATATATATATACATACATACATACATACATACATACATGTGCATACACACACACGTAATACAAAATTTCTGCATTTAAAGCCAACTTACTTAAATGCTAAATTAGTTTGCTAAACAAATGAATACAGGGCGATATGAATATGTGCTTTATGCCTTCAGGCTTGAAATAATGTTGAATCCATTCAGGTAAGTGGTAGGGAGGACTTCCAATTATCAAGTCAGACCAAGTTATTTTTACAATTTTGACTGATGGTAAATATACCAATCTTCTCCTCAGGAACGTCCATCAGGTATTACACTTCTGACTTTATTTTTTTATTTATTTGATTTGATTTGTCTATTGCTTACAAGATAATAGGTATAAATATAAACCTGAGTAAGAATACAAGAAATAGGTACGAATAAATGGGAACAAAAGGACAGGGACGGTAGGCACGATTGTGCACTTATGCACGCCCCTTACAGACCTCTTAGGAATGGGATGAGGTCAATAGTGGATAGTTTGAGGTTAAAGGAGTGGGGATTAGAGGATGTAACAACAACAACTTGTAGCAAGGGAGAAGAAGAAAGGCAAGGAAGATTTACTATAAAAATAGAAGTGTGAGTCATACTTATCCTGTGGCAGACAATTCCAACTTTCTCTTGCCTGCAGCAATACAAGGAAAGGAAACCACACAAAAAATGTTACCAATTGTGGCACATCACTAATATTCAAAAAGCAGAACGAAGGCTGAATCACCGGCTTTCACTTCAAGGCAGTATTCTTAGTTAAGTTTCAGGAACAATCCCTGGTAATCCCTATCTCTTCACAAATCACCTCTCCTCCTTTAACCACAGGTCCTTTCTTTAGAAATGTCAGGTTTTCAATGGCATAATGAAATTACCTCTCAAATACAGAAGGAAAGCACCTGCAATTACAAGTCCACCAGCTTCCCTGTGTCACAGTAGTAAATCAGCCGTGGTACCTTCTGCATTGGATAACTTCCTGTATCATTCTTGGGTGTTTTCCCGCCAAATTTTAAGCAGTTAATGGCGTGCAAAGAACCGAGTATCAAAGAGCTGAGAAGTCCCTGTCTTGCAAACAAGAAATTCTGCATTTTGGTCTTGAAAGAACATTCCTGGTTATGATTTACTTGTGACCACAGCCACAGAATGAGCATCCATCTATTATGCCAAAGTGTGCTGCTGACATATTTTTCAGGCAGGACCCAAACTCTTTCAAAATGGTGTCATTTGCTGAGCCAACTTTCTAAGACAGGGAGTTTTTAAGTTACCCTAAAACTCTTCTTCCATTGTGGACATATTTAATCTTTATTCTTTGTTAATATTAAATATTTAATATTTCTTCTATGATATAAATGACACTTATTTCTGGTGGAACTGTAAAAAACATTCTGAGTCAACTGCATTTGAAAAAATCAAAAGAACAGATTTGGTGCTGATAATAATGCCCACATTTTATTCTGCTTTTGAAAGAAATGTAATTGGAAAACGGAAATACCAGGAAAGAAAGGCTAATATGAGAAGCTATTCTTAATTGTCAACTACTTCTTGCATTAAGCCTCACAAATTATAAGCATTAGAGCTGTTGAATATCCCTTTCCATCATCTGGTGTTTTTGAAGGACTGGATACATTTCTTCTTTATCAAATCAGACTGATATTTTAGATCTGAATTAAGGACTGAGATAACACAATCTTCTCCAGTATTTTGCTGTTGTATTTTGTATCCTATTTTTCTTTTCTCCTTCAGGGAAAAAAAAAAAAGCTGTATTTGCAGAAACCAAAACAGGAAATATTGTCCCAAGCTACAGGCCATTCTATTCAAAGGTCGTCTATTTATTCCTTGTTGCCTATCTTATATTCTGTAACTATTTTTAGTTTAAAATTGTCATTTAAAAAAAATTACTGATAAAAGTGAGCCCTCAGTCTTCTTTAAATGCAGTTATTATACAGTTCAGGAATTCACGGACACATATGAAGATGCACTACTGCCTGTAAAACCAATGGATTTATAGCTTCGTTGCTTGGAAGGAAAAGATGCCACTTTTATACCATTCCACATATTAGGGATATAAAAAGGGACACACGTCTCTTTCTAGGGATAAAGGCTTTGAAATCCCCGCTGGCATATTTTTTTTTCTTCCGCCTTTTTGCCGAAGTACCAATCGGAGTGTCTCCCCTGTGGGAAGACTTCCAAATGAACGCTAGAGGGCGCAGTTTCTATTTGTATCTAAGTTTTATCTCCCTTTTCTCTTCTAAAATCTCGTAATTGGTTATTGCGAAGGGGGAGGAGGAGGAGAAGATGCAATAAAATCACATTAATTGTGCAATAACTCTGTTTGCAACAGAGCGATCCCTGTAACAGGCAAGGAGTCTACACAGGGTTGTCAACTGTGAAGGGAGTCAAAATTCCAAAGGGTGGATGGATAAATGAATGAATGAATGAATGAATGCAGTATATATGCGAACCCAAGCCGGGCGACTCGGTTTGAATTTTTAGCAAATCTCAAAGGCTCTTAATGCCACCGCCCGATCACCTTCCAACCCTCTGGGGCGGGTTCATTTCATTCTGTCCTAGATAGAGATGAAGGGCTCCAGCGGAGTTTCGTTTTTAAGGCAACCAAGTTTCCCAGGGCACCTTCCCAACTCTTCCGATCCCATCCCGGGAATCTGGAAAGAGAGTCAAGTGCGGAGGCCCTTCTCAAGAAAGTTTACCGTCCGCCCCTTCAAGAACCGCACCCGGAGGGAGGGCCGAGAGAAAAGCCGGTTGGGGACGAAGGGGGGTGGGATGAGCTGGGTTACTCACCGTCTCGGGCCGATCGCTGCGTTTTGCCGAAGCCTGGGAAGCAACCCCCCCTCCGCCTTTGCTCCGGACCCTGGATGGCAGCGCTGGCTGTTGCCGGCTTCCTTCCTTCCTTCCAGCAGCGGCGATGTCGGTGGAGGGGTGGGGGGGAGGGAGAGAAGACGGCAGCTGGTTCGGCCGCCCCTTTTCCTCCTTTGCCGCACCCGCTTTAGGCGGCAAAGTTGCAGCCCGCGGCTAAAGACTTCCGCGGGGCGAGTCGCGAAGCAAAGCCCCGAAGCCCAGCTGGAGCCACCCGGCGAGCGGACGAGCCGCGCTTCTTTCGCGCGCCCCCTGGATTTAGCCACTCCTCTGGCGCTGCCCCTTTGGAGATGGGCCCGGTTGGGCTGGCGACGGGGCGAGAGTCCTCCCCGAACTGGGGGGTGGTGGTGGAAGAGAGAGAGAGAGAGAGAGAGAGAAGGCAGGGATCGGACCAGAGGGAAAACTAGGGCGGCTCAGGAGGTGGGGGTGAGGACCGGGAAAGAAGAGGTCTCGGTCGCTTCTTCTAGCCGTCCCGCTCCAGCCCCGCCTTCGCCCTTCCTTGTGCCGGGCTCACTTCTTGGCATTCAAACTTTTGACGGGGAGGCGCGGTGCGATCGCTGGTTGCCTGCCGGCCGCGGCAGCTCCGGGTGGCGCGGCGGCTGCTGCTCCCGCGGCTGCTGCTGCTGCTGCTGCTGGGGCTGAGGGATCCCCTCAGCTTTCATCATTTTATTTCCGATCGCCGAGGGTGAAAAGGGAGCGCGGGAGGCACTCAAAATCCCCGCGGTTAGCCTGGAAGACCGCGGAGTTGACCCCCCTTTTTTTGGATTGGTTTTTGTTTTCGCCGGCCAGGATCGAAGGGGGTTTCCCGGGCGGCGCTCCGGTTAGAAAAGTCCATCGGGGGAGGGAGGGAGGGAAGAAAGAAGCAGGCACCCCCCTCCTCCCCGTCGCCGCCGAGCCTGTCCTCCTTCTGGGCAGCCAATTCTCCCTTTATAGACCCTCGGCGGCAGGAGCTTCGCGGCGCTCCCTCGCCCTCGCCGCGGCTGAGAGGAGCTCGCAAACTTAAGGACAGGAGGCGATTAATTGGGGAGCGGGAGGGTGGGGATGGGGTGAGGGTGTGTGAGTGGGGGGGATTGGGAGAGAAGCAAGCGCGGGAGGGGTGGCCCTGCCGCTTCACTTCAAAGCGATCTTCTGCAAACTGCCAGTAGAGTAGAAGAGATGGCAAAGCTTATACTACCTCCGGAGCGGGAGCGCTCCGAGCGGTCCTAAAGCCGAGGGGCTCCTGCGCCGAGGTAGCTCCATCTGCCCGCTCATCCCCCCCCCTCAAAAAAAAACAACACAAATCAAAACACAACAACTCCACTCCTGACGCTCCGCTTAGCAAGTCTCCGGTGTCTGCTTTGCCCGTTTTAGGCGATCGTCTTAACAACCCGTAACGTTTGACTTCGACTCCTCCAAGGGAAAAACCTATCTAGAGGTTGTGAGGTGCCCCAACTTCAAAAACCTTGGACCTTCGGTAACCATGAAAAGATCGATTTAAACAAAACAAAAAAAAAAGCGGCCCAAGTTTTGCATTAAATTTGGCCAGAGGAATTTAAATCTTTTGACACGGTTGCCTGTGAGTTGCCTTTGAGTACGTGCTGCATACGACTCCGCCCCCCTCCCCAAAAGATCTCTCCACACGAAGGCAACGAAGCGGTGATCTGCAAAGGGACGGATCGCCGCCGCTCTCACGTCGAAGCCCGCGCTGTACCATTCACTACGGATCGGGTCACGTGTGCATATTACTTTTCTTAATTCATTTCTGATTGGTTTGAAATCGAATGAGGAGTTTTCCTAGGCAACAGCCTGCTTTATATAGTCTTAGAATGCCTTGCTTTTGCTTTTCATCTAGTGAGACGAATAAGCCAGCAAATCGTCTGCCGCAACACTAGTAAAGTTAGGCATTTTAAAGTCTGCAGGATTTTTTTTTCTGGGGTCGAAATGTACATTTCACTGAAATGAAAGGCATGTGAAAATGTTGGACAGTCGAAATTAGCTGGTTACAGCTTGATCCATTTCGAAAAGCAATGTATTTGTAAGGCCCCCCCAGTTCAAGGAGGAGACAAGGAATACTTGTTTCATAAAATGAATTCTCTGAGATTGTTGGGACTTGTTTTTATGAATTTTATACAAGACTCTTATTGTTTCCATAGCACCACTGTCCGATGAGCAACCTTGTTATTGATATTAAACTGAACTATATGTTTCAGATAAGGTGAAGCATGTTTAGATCCCACTGATTTTACATATTCATGCTCAGCCTATGTCATACTCAGCAAAGAAGTTTAATTTTGGTTAGAAGCTAATTCATTACTGTGGAAAGGGAACTTCAGGAAGACAGTAGTTTCACACACACACACAAAAAAAAAAAACACAGGAAAAGCCCAAGGGGAACATCAGGTCAGCCAGAAAACAAACTTACATAGGAAAAGGAATCAAATAAAGAGTGTTAAAGAATCCCTATAGACCAGGGGTGTCCAACCTTTCACCTTCCCTGGGCCACATTAGAAGATGAAAATTTGGTTTGGGCCGCACATAATTAAATTAAATAATTAAATTAAATTAAATTAAATTAAATTAAATTAAATTAAATTAAATTAATTAATAAAATAATAAAATAAAATAAAATAAAATTATTATTTATTATT